GTGAGGCAATTCGCGGAGTTTAGGTTCATCATTGTGAAGCGTTCCTGTTCAAGACCGAGACGGCAGCGTTTGTTTTCTTAACTTTTATAAAATATTGTTGATATTGTGAGTGCACACAAATAAAACTAGACCCTTTACAGTTTAGAATGATGTATTACTTACCTTTATGAGCAAAAATGACTGCTTATTAAGTTGTTTCCACTGTTAGAAATAAATGCAAGTGATCGCGCTGGCGTCTCCATGTGCTGCCGAGCGCACTTTAGCTTCAACTCTCCGCACAAACGATTGGATATGCGTCTAACAGCGCACATTTATCTAGGTTAAACACTTAAACTAACATTGTGATATGCTTGAACTGTTTTATATCTATAGATTTTATTTTAGGCAAGTCGTGATGATTTGAGAAAGCTAAATTGATCAAACATATAGGCTATGATAAATTCACTGTCTGCCGCTGGCCGTTACTTAAAAAAAACGTACATATTAACGAACAAAAAATGCTCCAAACGTTTTTCTAAATTTACTTTATAAAAAAACGAAACTAAATATAATCACTTTTCCATTACATACAAAACTGAACTATTTTAATAGCTGAAACAGTAGTAGCCTATAAGCTTTTTTTGGGAAAAGGGGAAAAAGACGGGCTAGGGCCTATATTTGAGGCCCGTGCAGGGCTCTAATCCACTTCATCCAACGCTGTTTTTTTCTCATCTGTGAGCATGCTCTTGATATATGTATTTTACCATTTTGTTGAGTTTAAAACGTGTGACACATTCGTTCTGCTCTCACTGATCATTTGCCCCGCCCCCAACAACATGAAAGAAATCCATTATAACATGTACATGAAAATGTAGAAACATTGGACACAACTATGGGGCACCATTGTGCAGCAGCAAGCATCACAACAAAAAAAGGAACCTCAAGGTTGATCTAGGAAAATGTGTGAAAATGTATAGGGCCCCATTCCTATATTTTGCCTGGGGCCCCCAATTCAATAAATCCGCCCCTGGAAGTGGTGTTTTGTTTTTCAACAACAAAAGTTTCTTAACTTGCACTAACCATTGGGAATGACATTAAATTAGCACAGATGAGACTTCTATTACTGTTGTTGTCTCCCAAGTTGAACTCACCTCACAGTGATAACACTGCACGTGGTAGTCCTTGTCCATGGAAACCACTCGAATGGTTTCATCTGATCCCTATGAGAGTAAACAACCAGTGAGATGACAACAACACAACTTACCACAACACGTGCAATGATACAGCATGACCACTTCGAAAGCTGTCTCTACTCCAATAATCAAACAGAAACATGAACTGTCTACAATTGATTAACGATTAATTAAAATGTTCTCAATTGTTGTGTTAATGTCAGCCTGGAGTTAAGAAGTTAAACATGACTGTGGGCAATGTATTATTACGTTGGTTTTATGCATCAAGGCACTCTGGTGAGTGGCACTAAATAGTAGTGCTGTCAAACGATTAATCGCATCCAAAAAAAGTTTTTGTTTACATAATATATGTGTGTACTGTGTATATTTATTATGTATATATAAATTAGTGCTGTCAAATGATTAATCGCGATTAATCGCATTCAAAATAAAAGTTTTTGTTGACATTACATATGTGTGTACTGTGTATATTTATTATGTATATATAAATTAGTGCTGTCAAGTGATTAATTGCGATTAATCGCATTCAAAATAAGTTTTTGTTGACATTATATATGTGCGTACTGTGTATATTTATTATGTGTATATATAAATACACACATACAGTATATATTTTGAAAGTATTTACATACATAAACATTTATATATTTATATTCTTATATTATATATAAATATATTTAATATATAAAGATAACATTTTTCGTAAATACATAATATGCATGTGTTTGTATTTATATATACATAATAAATATACACAGTATACACATATATTTAAAGAAAAACTTTTATTTTGTATGTGATTAATCGCGATTAATCGTTTGACAGCACTAATATAAATACACACACATACAGCATATATTTTGAAAATATTTACATGTATGTATATACTTATATTCAAATAATTTATATCATATATAAATATATTTAATATATAAACGTACTCCTGTAATCATCATTTGTGTGAAAAGTAATAAAGGTTGTTGGCGTTTTACTGCCTCTGGTGTTCATTTCAGCTGGAAACTGCAATGATTTTTGCGGGAATGTAGGCACATACGTCCAATGAGCCTGGGTTAGTTCATGTTTATTGTTGCTTTTAAAGGAATAGCTCAACCAGAAATCTTTGTCACTATGAACTTGTTTTATGAACTGTTGTATTACTATTAACTGTTGTTTTTGCATGGAAAAAGTCATGTCATTTTTGGGTGAACTGCTTTTTTGTTTTTTTTATCTTTTCTGGGTATAGCGATGTTTCAGCTGTGAACAGTGTTAATGTTACACTCGGCTGTGATCAGAGAGGAGGAATTCCTGTAGAGTTTCTCATAAGAGCCTCCATGCAGGTGCATGATAACTGAGCTCTTGCTCTTGATGGTGTTGGAGAGCAGCATGCCTCGCGGGTCATCTCTAATTATAGATGGAGGGGCTTAATTATTTGAATATAAGTATTTACATGTATGTATATACTTATATTCAAATAATTTATATCATATATAAATATATTTAATATATAAACGTACTCCTGTAATCATCATTTGTGTGAAAAGTAATAAAGGTTGTTGGCGTTTTACTGCCTCTGGTGTTCATTTCAGCTGGAAACTGCAATGATTTTTGCGGGAATGTAGGCACATACGTCCAATGAGCCTGGGTTAGTTCATGTTTATTGTTGCTTTTAAAGGAATAGCTCAACCAGAAATCTTTGTCACTATGAACTTGTTTTATGAACTGTTGTATTACTATTAACTGTTGTTTTTGCATGGAAAAAGTCATGTCATTTTTGGGTGAACTGCTTTTTTGTTTTTTTTATCTTTTCTGGGTATAGCGATGTTTCAGCTGTGAACAGTGTTAATGTTACACTCGGCTGTGATCAGAGAGGAGGAATTCCTGTAGAGTTTCTCATAAGAGCCTCCATGCAGGTGCATGATAACTGAGCTCTTGCTCTTGATGGTGTTGGAGAGCAGCATGCCTCGCGGGTCATCTCTAATTATAGATGGAGGGGCTTTAACAAATGACACATGCCCTAACTTAGCAGTAATCACTCCTTCATCACTGCTAACTGAATTACTCACAGTATCAGGCCTAAAGAAGGTTTAACTGTTCTGGAATTACTTAAGATGTTCTGCATAGTTTAAGTATAGCAGTAAAGTTCTACCAAGTAGTAAAAATTCCCATGCTCATTTTGGTTAATTTGTCTCAAAACAAGCAAAAAGATATAAGTCTAGATTGGCATTGGCAGTGCTGTGACACGTGGCTCTAATACAGAGAAAGCTGATTCTATGACACAGGCTGAGAATACGGCTCATGCCCCCGGCGGATTCAAACTTTAAGTGATTTCCTGGGGTTTTACTGATTACCTTTTACAGTCAAATGAGATTTGTTTCTGTATGAAGAGAGTTTATGGAGTACAGGCTGAATTGGTCCTGATATGCATCTTACCTCAGAGGGCAGGATCGGCTGATTACATGCAGCACATTTAGGGGCAAGAACTCTGAAGAAGAAAAGACAATAAATAATCACACAGATCATCCACTAAATGGCAATTAAAATCATATCAGCATGACTCTTTATCCAGAGTACAAGACTGTAACATACTTAGTTGCATACAAATTAGTATTTGGGCACTTTAGCTAGCTAGATCTTTTCTCAGAACTAATCATTTTTGCAATTAATTTTAACCAACAGGTGAATTGGTTATGGGGTTTTTACAGCCAATTGAGAATCCTTTTAATGTTGCTGTTCTTAAAATCAACACTTATTTTCATACCGACAACACAACTGCAAGTGTGACATTGCATGTATACAACAGTTCAATAAGCAAGAAGTTAATGTTGAGTAACCTACATTTTTGAAAGAATACAATGTTGTGAAATTTTTGTACAAATCGGTCAAGTGAATAATTCAACGACTCTCTCATAAATAACTTATTTCTTTCTAAACTTATTTTTTTTTAAAGGGGTCCTATTATGCTTTTTCACTTTTTCAACTTTAGTTAGTCTGTAATGTTGCTGTTTGAGCATAAAAAAAGATCTGCAAAGTTACAAAGCTCAAAGTCCAAAAAAACTACAACGCACGACTCGTTTGGACTACAACGCATATTTTCCGGGATTTGTGATATCACAAATATCGACGAATGGGACGAGACCTGGTTGAGCTGCACTAGAGAAGGCAACGAGTGTTATCACTATGTCGGAGACACGCTAGCTTTCCCAAGGCAGACGAATTTAGAGTGGTTACAATCATCCGGGTTTAAATCGCACTCAAATAGATTTGATTTTGACGTAATATTTACACTGAAGCTGGCAGGTGGCTATGGTAAGGCATGACATTTCCCGACCAGGCGCCGAGTGCTGCCAATCACAACACACACTGGCCCAGCTAACCAATCACAGCACACACTGGCCCAGCTAACCAATCACAACACACACTGGCCCAGCTAACCAATCACAGCACACACTGGCCCAGCTAACCAATCACAACACACACTGGCCCAGCTAACCAATCACAGCACATTTCGTATTTCAGAAGGCGGGCCTTCATTTGATACAGAAACTATTGGAGCCGTTCATGCCAGACTGGGGAGAGAGGTGTTGTAATAATGTAAAATATGTGAAAAATAATGTGTTTTTCGAACAACCTAGTATGAGAGCCTGTTCTAGTACACCCCCAAAACAAAATCAAGACTTTGTAAAAGAGCATAATAGGACCCCTTTAATATTTTCCTTGCAAAGTGCTATTTTTCCATTTGATTTGATATTTTGTTATGACAATCATAAGTGTGCCCAAATACTTTTTTGGGCCACTGCATGACTTGGAGGTGAAAGATAGATTGAGAAGAGTGGAATAGAGCTACTGGACTAGACTGCAGGTCTGCTGGCTCTTCGATTAGCCCGTGAATAGCCCAATCCCAGAAGGACAGAGTGGAAAAGCATCGTTTGATTTCATCTCCATATGGTCACCACCTGACTGAATGTCTGGGGTTTTGGAACAACAGCAATCATCGCTCAGTTCACGGCTCACGGCAAAGGATGCATGAGAAGAATTTGCAGTGCAGCAAAGCGCGCGCACACACATACACCCTCAAGACCAATAAAACTCACAATAAAATGTCATTACATCAAGCTACTGCTAGGAAAATGCCTGTGGAAGAAATTATGGAGAATAGTGCACAACAAAAAGCACACATCTACCATCAACTGAAGGAAATATATAGCTCACTTTATGCATCTGGAGTTTGCTTTGCCAGCCAAAAGTCACCATAAAATAAAAATTTACAATCTTTATTTTTTAATGGAATGCATTATTTATTATACCTGACTCATCTGTGCACATCAATGTTGATTAAAAATTATGATTACATGAAACACAGCAATTAGCAAACAACAATTAATTCACTTCCAATGGACAAAATCCAGCCCTACATATTTTTCTTGTTTGAGAAGTAGTTTCACTCGGATATACGTCACACTTTCCAATGCATGCAGACTTTAAAGGGTTAATCGTCGCCCTTCGCCAGGCTCACAACAGGAGTGGGTGCATGAGAGAGGAGGGGCGCTGAAATAGCCAGGGCTGGCGGCGTGTGATGGGGCACACCTGAACCGAATGGAGCCTCATCGCCGCCGCTGTTTAAATGCCAAGCGCGCCTCTCCTCGGGAGACCGGTCTCTTCCCCGTGCATGCACGCTGGTGTCCTCGTGGGTCCAGGAGGGGTGCGTAGAGGAACTCCCGTGCCGCCAGAGTCGTGAGCTGCCAGACCCGCAGTCCAGACGAGAACCGCACCCGTTACACGGCCGTCGGGCAAGGATGCTGGGCCGTCTAGTCCCTTCAAGCGCCGTGGGCAGAGAGAAGTACGAAGCCTCTGATAGAAGCTGCCGCCCCTCGTGCCCCGGACCGGAGAGGGGAGCGCGTGCGGCCGCCGGACTCCACCCCTTACCTGGACCCTTCCTTCCTTCCTGACCACTGCCCTTCCCTTCATGAACCCCGCAGCACGACGAGGACACCAGATCCCCTGTTTATTTTGGACACTTGATTCCCTTTTTTCTGGACACTGTTTATTTTCTGTTAATAAACTGTGTCTGTCGTTTGCTCCTCCCGCGACAACACACCCATTAACGTAAACTACGCCAGAGCACGTACACACCTCACGCACCGGAAGTCGTGCGCGTGCTCAAAGCAGTTGGACATAGTGTTGTATTAGAGGTAAAAAATGATATAAATACTGTTCGGTTTCTGGCACAAACCGAACGTTTCGTGTCTTAGGACATCAGTGTGTCGTCACGAGCCGCAGGGTTTAATTTGGATTTGTCTGTGCATGTTTTTTTTACTCTCATAGATTTTGTTACCATTGCCATGCATTATAAGACTGATGGACTCCGACGGTTGGACTTAATAATCACCAAATGTGTTCTACTGAAGAAACAAAGTCACCTACATCTTGGATGCCCTGGGGGTAAGCAGATAAACATCAAATTTTCATTTTTGGGTGAACTATCCCTTTAAGTCATGATTTTTATGGGGAGCAGCCATCAATAGCGTGCTACAATAACATCTGGACAAAGCATATACAGTCATCCTTTTTACAATTTTGGTCAATTTAAAGTTCAAAAGCAGTGTTAAAAAAGGAAATGCCATCATGACACAAACTTAAATAAATATGGGAGTACCTGGGCTAGTTGTCACACTTTATACTCAAATCAGTATTTCCCAGGGTAGATTATGTAGACATTATGTAGAAACTCTTTATGATTTTCTTGCTTCCACTGAAGCTCAAGTGAATTTTACTCAAATTACTCTGCTGATCATCAATTTCCTTTTGTATAAAAATTTAAAAAAAGAAGCCAAAATAAAAACATCTCAGACTGAGTTGTCACACTTTATACTCAAATCAGTATTTCCCAGGGTAGATTTATCAGGAAAGTCAACTTCAATAGACACAGATCTAAAGTCTTGGCTACAAAGAAGCCCTTGATATAAAGTAACAACAGATATGAACTATTTGCTCTTGTCCTCAGAGCAGAGTTCAATCATTCAGTTCATTTTTTCCACCTTCAGTACATAGTTGACACTTGACTGACTGTGTAGTTTATTGTGTTCACTTTTAAAGTTAATACAAAAATAGATTATTGAAATCACACAAGGCCACTGGAAAATCTCCAGTGACACTGCAAAATAAACCATACTGCATGTCAATGTGAGTTTGCAAAGAGACAATGTACTGCAAAATTTTTTTTACCAGGAAAACACTTCTTTTTGTAGAGTTATGCTTGTGGTCTGCACATAAAAACAAACACACGGCACAACCAGTGCAGTTTTATGAACTTCAAAGTCTTCTGGACATAAAAAGAAGTCTTATCAAACCATCAATGAATAAACACATTTAAACGTATAATGAAGAATTGTGATTGGCTGTGGGCCTGCAGCTCCACACAAGCTCACCTGTGATAGTCCTTCACGCAGTAGATCTTGTTCTCTGTGTCCACAGTGAAAGGCACTCCATCCAGACTCTCATTACAGATGGCGCAGCGGAAGCAGCCTGGGTGGTAAGACTTTCCCAGTGCCTGCAGGATCTGAGGAGGAACACCATGTTCACATGCTGCCAAACAACACACAACCAACAGCGACACATTTTGTGTGTGTGATATGCCTCCTCTCATGACAGTATGACTCTATGAGAGGAGATGGGCATCCATGTGTGAGAAAACATATTTATATTTAATGTTTTAAAGTACTATGTACCAACATTTAAATTAATAATTTAAAGGTAGGGTAAACGATTTCTGGTAGCCAATGTTGACATTTGAAATCACCAATCAATTAACTTATTGTGTACCAGTGTTATCTTATTATGACTGATATAGTTATAGTTTCTGTTAATATTTTGAATTAGATTTTTTTTTATATTTTCACTTTAATTTTAGTTGAAGTTTTAGTACTGTTGTTGTGTTTTTGTTATTTTTTATTTTTTTTTTAACAGTATATTTATATGTATTAATTAGTTTTAGTTATTTTAGTACTCCTAAACTAAACAAAAATGAGAAGTGTTGGCTCGGCCACTAGCTGAAATTAAATATATATTGATTGATTGACTGATTGAAAATATGCCTAAACAGTTTTTATTAATTTTTATTTCAATTTAAGTTTTAGTTATTTTAGTACAACAACTTTAAATTAAATAAGTTCAAGCTGAAATAATTTTTTTTAATATTTAATTTTATTTAACTGATTTTAAGTCTTTTTTTATGGTTTTAGTTTTAGTTAACGATAACAAAACCTGTTGCATGCAAACATGTTTTAAATTGTACGTGCGTTTAAAAAATACCTGCATGCAATTACATCTTAAAACTAACCATACCACAAAACCAGTCCCTAATCTTAACCGCATCCCACCTCCATAGCGGCAAATGTGTTTTGCAATACACAGTAAATACATTGTACCTAACAACTAATTTTTTGACGCAAGTACATAAAAGTTAAATCACCTAAAACACAGTAAGACTATTACATTTAGCCAAATCTATGTAAAGAGCACTGTAGAATAAGGAGCTTTATAAATTAAACCCAACCAACTCCTTCAAGCTCTGTAGTGTGATATTCTCAGTCGTGTGATATTGTGACTAATGCAGGGTGTGGAGGTACATCAGACTCACCATGTCCATGATTAAATGTCCACATACGTTGCATTTGTCGGCAGACTGCTGGAAACCAGAGTACTATTAAAGACAAGAGTGAAGATAGAGGTGAGCTTTTCAACTGACTCTCGTTCCTTTCCATCACTTCATTTTCTCTAATACACACAACATTAACAGCTCAGATATAACAATTAATCTAATTTAAGAACCTTAAAATAACACAAACTGTACTTTTTGGTCTGGAAGTTTCATTCTCCCTGAGGAAATTTGCCATTTATGCACCTATAAGAGCTAGATGTGTTTTTAAAAAGCTTTTTTTTTTTTTGCTTGTCTAAGGAAAATGTGGCAGTATTTGTATTTTTTACAACCAGCTACACAATACATACATGAATGTGGCATACCTAACCACCTTGCTACACTACACAATTATATGCACAAAACATTTAACAGCTGATCCCAAAAGTCTATTTTTTCCACTGAAATAAAGTTTTAGGATTCTGAAAATTTTAAAATAAAAAGAAAAGCTATGACATTTATTGAAGAGGAAATACTTACACTACGGCTCCATTTGCAGATTTTTAAACAAATTAACTAAGCAAATCCGTGACATTATGTAGAAACTCTCAGATTTTCTTGCTTCCACTGAAGCTCATGATTCTCAAATACTCTAAGTCGAGTGAATTTTACTCAAATTACTCTGCTGATCATCAATTTCCTTTTGTATAAAAATGAACAAAGAAGCCAAAATAAAAACATCTCAGACTGCTGAAGCCCACTGCTGGATCCCACAATTAAGCCAAGTTGAGCTAAGGTGAGCTCATAAGGTGAACTCATAACCAGGTTCATGTTTTGAAACCTGAAACCTCATGATGTCTTTAAAGACATGCTTTAGATAAGATGACACATTCTTCTGACATAACTATGAGCTATGGTTGTAAGACATGTCTCAAGACATGTTGAGACATGAAAACCCCATATAAAAGAAGAGGGGAAGACAGCATACCAGGAAGTCCTCTTCACAAAAGACGTTCCCACAGACGTAGTAAAAGGCCTTCCCTCGGAGCTTTCGGCCTGCAGAAAACACACAACAAAGACATTTACCATCAATTCAGCAACATCATGGGACACTGATAATTCGTTAAAATCAAAAAGCAAAATGTTGTTTTTATTTTAGTTAGTTTCAGTAATTTTATTGTTTAGTTGTTTTTTATGTCTATATGAAGAGTTCATTTGCAAAAACTGATAACTCAAGATAACAATTTTCAAAAATCACGTTTTTCATTGTGCATTCCAATTAATCTCAATCAAACAGCAGTTGGGTTATTTTGATTAGCTAAAAAATAACTAAAAACACAGCTAACTAACAATAAAAACATGATAACATAATAAAAAACACGATTTTTAAAAACAAAACAAAAAAAACCGGATTTATCTGTTTTTGCAAATAAACTCTTCATATATTTTCTATTCATTTTTATTTCAATTTTAGTTATTTTAGTATATCAAGTTAAACTACGTTCAAACTTTGTTTTGTTTTTGTTTTTTATATTTTATTTTAGTTAATGTTAATTTTATTTCAAGCAACAAATGTTTTTATGGTTTAAAGTGAACTAGTTTTAGTTACCTCTTATAGCCCTGGGTAACGAGGTGTTGATTGGATTTTCTTTAAAATTTTTATTACCTTTTTCCAATAAAAGGACACGAGGCTATCACACGACCTTACATGCTTTCGGCTTAAGCATTATCACAGGAGACTACAGATGTAAACACACTCACTGTCACTATCTTAGCTGTTCTCTCTTCTCACTTAAACCTTCAGCGTAAACCTCATTAGAGAAATACCTAACAATGATATAATTGAATCTGATACATGTTTACAAGTTTAAAAAATAAATCAGAGGCTAAACTCAAAGCACATGAGGGAAAGGTTTATTGAATCCAATGAACACACAGTAAACACATTAAGAAAGTGTCAGCACTTTGCAAAATGTGCAGTTCAGACATTCGCTGCTGATTTCCAGCCCATGGTGAGGACTTCCTGTCCCAATCCGGACTGTTTTTGGCTTTTTACCTCAACAGACAGACAGACAAACCCTCCCCATTCAGACAGACCCCGTCCCACAGGAAAGGGGAACATTCCGCACATTTTCTGCAGAGGGGGGTTCAGGCCGATGCAGTTAACCCTTATAAGCCAAAGCTCAATGAAAGCCTTCATGTTGTTGCCATCCAGGCTCAGTGGAGCACAGTCAACCTAAACACACTTCACAGGGCCAATGAGTCTGCTGGCAACAGGAACGTTTACTTTAATGCTGAAACCATCACTGCTCAGCTGGATTTTTCAAATGATGCTTGGCGGAAACAGTTTTGTGTGAGAGTACTAAACAGTCTCTCGCTGTCGGTGCTTGTAATGATTTTTGTGTCTTTCCTTGGATGGTTTTAAATGCTTCTACACTGCTGTGCTGACATGTTTGTTGCATTATAAAGAGTATGCGCCTCTCACTCTGCTCTGGTTGCTATCACGTCATTGTTCGGTACAATTTATTCGGTCTTTTCGCTTATTCAAATAATTTCAGTTGCTGAACATTCGGTGCATCCCTAAACAAGTCACTAATTTTATCCTTTAAAACTCATCCTTGATAATCAAAATAACATATTTAAAAATTTTTGGAAATGGAAATTTACATTTAGTCATTTTGCAGACGCTTTTATCCAAAGCGACTTAAAATTGGGGAATACATAAAGTTTCTTTAAATAAATAATTTCTTTAGGTCTTAAAATGGCTTGAATGTAACTATACAACCTTTACCTCATTTAGTACACGCCATAAATTAATATGCAAATTAGTCCCTGCCTCCATCCATTCACACCAGCTCGAACCTGCTCCACTTAATAATAATAATAATAATTTTTATTTATATAGCACCTTTCCAAAACCCAAGGTCACTTTACAAGTCAGGTTTAAGGAACAGAAACAAATAAACATCAATACCAGAAGACAGAACACATACCAAGAGCTGAGAGTTATACAGAGACCACTTACAAAGTTAGATTAGAGATACAGAGAGAATGTAGATAAACATCCATAACAGGGTACAAATTACAGACTGAGAACTGAAGAGTAATACTCAGAGAAAAAAATTGTTTTTACGAGGTTTTTGAAGGAGAGAAGGGAGGATGCTTGATGGATGTTTTGGTGAAGAGCATTCCACAATCTGGGAGCCACAACACTGAAAGCTCTAGATCCCATAGTCACCAGACGAAACTTAGGGGTGACTAACAATCCCTCACTAGAAGATCGTAAGGAGCAGGCAGGAACATAAGGCAGAAGTAAGTCAGATAAATATGTACGACCAAGGTTATGGAGAGCTTTATAAGTGAGAATTAGTATCTTGTAGTTTATTAGTAGAATTAGTATTTTGTAGTTCAAGGAAACCGGAAGCCAATGAAGGTGATAAAGGATTGGGGTAATGTGATCGCTCTTTCTTCTGTGGGTAATCAAGCTAGCCGCAGCGTTTTGAACATATTGTAGTCGTTTGATATTATTAGCTGACAGGCCATAAAGAAGTGAATTACAGTAATCTAATTGAGATGTGACAAAGGCATGTGTAACAGTTTCAGCATCCTGCTGACTGAGAGAGGATCGAATATGAGAGATATTACATAGGTGGAAAAAAGCTGTCTTTACTACTTTACCAATGTGATCATTGAATGAAAGAGTGGAATCAATGAGAACACCAAGATTGCGAACTTTAGTGAAGGGCATAATCAGATCACCATCCAGATCCATCAGTTGACCAAAGAGCTTAGATGCAACAGCTTTAGAGCCAATCAGAATTACCTCAGTTTTATCAGTTAAATTTAAGGTAATTTGCCTCCAGCCAAAGCTTGAGTTCCTTGATGCAATTTGTTAATGCAGGCGGAGGAAACACTGAGGTGGAAGGTGCGCTAAAATAAATTTGAATGTCATCTGCGTAACATTGGAAGTTAAACCCATAGCGTTTGATTATTTGTCCAATTGGTAGCATATAAATGTTAAAGAGGAGAGGGCCCAAAACAGAACCTTGAGGTACACCAGAACTGATGGATTTGGTAGATGATTTGTGTTTCTGGTATATAACAAATTGTTGCCTCCTGGTCAAATAGGAAGAAATCCATTCAAAGGCTGTGCCAGTAATTCCAATTGCTGAAAGCCATGAGAGGAGTATCTCATGACAAACAGTGTCAAAAGCTGAGCCGAGGTCTAACAGAAGGAGAGTGCTAAGAGCACCAGAATCAGAAGCTAAGAGTAGATCGTTAAGAACCTTAACCAGGGCTGTTTCAGTACTGTGTAATGGACGAAGCCAGACTGGAAGGGCTCGTAGAGGTTGTGTGCCGTTAAAAAGGCCTGTAACTGGGAGGCAACAACTTTTTCTAATATCTTTATTAGATAAGTTTGAAATAGGCCTATAGCTACTTAGGGAAGAAGGTTCGAGCTTTTGAAGAACTGGAGTAACAGCAGCAATCTTAAGCTTTGATGGTACAGTTCCAGATGACATTGACGTATTAATGAAGTGAGTGATGGGTAGTGACAAAGCAGGCAAGCAATTCTTCAGTAAAGAGGTAGGTGCAGGATCGAGAAGACTAGTAGAGGAATTAGACAGCCTGATTATCTCATCAACCTCTGTGGGGACAATAGAGTCAAAACTAGAGAAGCTATGAGCATGGCATAATGAGAGAAGTTCAATAGTGGGAACAGAGGTAGGGTGTTGACAGGTATGAGATGTTTTACTCTGAAAAAAGTTCAGGAAAACGTCACACATTTGATCAGAGCCCACTAGAGACTGTGCGGGAGGCTGAGTTAACTTTTTAATCGTAGTAAATAATGTTCTAGGCCTGTTTTTGGACTTATTAATGAAAGTAGAGAAATAAGATGATCAAGCTGCATTAAGAACATTCCTGTACTGCTTAATGTGTTCAGTAAATACCAAGGAGTGAACAACAAGGCCAGTTTTCTTATAAAGCTTTTCCAGCTGGCGGCCCTTGGCTTTCATTGCCCTAAGTTCAGTGTTGAACCAAGGAGAAGTGCGCGAGGAAGGGACCTGTCTAGATTTTAAGGGAGCAAAATTATTCAGAATAGTAGAAATACTTTCATCATATACATTAAGAATGTCTTCAGCACTGGAAAGACTGCAGCAGTCAGTAGTGAACACTACACAGTGGCAAGTGGCAATATTGGATTAATTAATATATTAAGGATGCAACGATTAACAGCGAACTGGTTCAAAATCGATTGAAATATGTGACGATACAAATCGGTTGAGATGCCAAACAAATCGCGATACAATTGACCTATCGTAAGCCCCTCCCCTCGAACGCAGAAGAGCCAATGGCAGTCGAGTATCTGTTGCACGGAAAGTGGAACTCGGACATCTGTAGGTTTCAGAGTCATAGAGAAACATTGGAGGATCCGAAGCTCGCATCGGTTTAATGGTATTTATGCTACAAAAATGGAAAAACTATTTGCCTAGGGTACTTGCAACACTAATTCCAGTTATCCTGAGAGGATAGGCAATGTAATTTATTTTATTCCATTTCCTAAACCCAAACAAAACAGAGCAAAATGTCCCTAAGCATTCAACCCCAATCACAATGAAGATGAAAATGTTCATTTTCTGGTTGTCATACTCTCATTAAGTTACACTTTTCATCTGCTCAAGCAGAACGTTAATGTCATCTTGTGCTTCAGCAAGGTATCTCTGGCTAAAACTAGCTAACGTTAGCATTAAAGTTAGTGAGTCCATGCTAACGTACAAACCTAAATAGCGAACTGTTCTCACGTCATGTACCGTGCAGTGAAAGTCAAAAACAATAAACGAAGATCTATATTAGAGTGCCTCTTCATATTAATCTGGTTAAATGTGAATTAATTTAATCTTACTCTGCAGTATATGAATGGTGTTGATCCAGGATGTTGTCATTGCGATCGTGACGACCGTAACATAATTCTCCCATTTGCATTGTGATCTGTATTTTTACATATTTATTTTAATATCTTTTATATATCCCTCCATGGCATATTTAAGTCCCACTTG